TAAGTATATATGCTTCCCCTTCCCCTGCCCTGCCCCCCCCGCCCCACACCGAAATGAAAGCAGAAACTCAAACTTGTTCATTGTAACATTATTCATAATGGTAAACAGTGGAAATGTCCAACTGATAAAATGTCATACACATATTAAGCCATAAATGATGTATAATGGTACAAGATAGATGGACTTTGAAACCACACTAAGTGAACCAAACCAGACATAAAAAGCCATGTATATGATTCTATTTATATGAAACATCCAGAATAGGTAAACCCACAAAGACAAAGCAGGTCAGTGGCTTCTTGAGGCTGGAATGATGCAGGGATTGCTTTAACAGCTAGAGTTTTCTTCTGCGGGTGATGAAAAGTTCTAGGTAATAGTGATCATTATAGTGATCACTATGAAAATATTGATCAAATTATAGTGATCACTATGAAAATATTGATCACATTATAGTGATCACTATGAAAATAAACTCCAGTGCACACTCACAATGGTAAATTGTATACTTTTGGTATTTTACCATGAGTAGGAAAATTACTTGACTTCTTCACAAGAGTCAAGTCCAACTTACCACCTTGTTACTGCACGGGAGGAAGTGGACTAGAAAGAATACTTCTTTTGGACATCCTATTTCCAAGACAAAAGGAACACCCAGTCAAGCATGTATTTCCTTCTATAATATTAAATAAGAACTAAGTCACTGCTTTTCTAAAAAAGGAATGATCAGTTTTCCTTGTAGGTCTATGGTGTGTAACTTAGGATGATCACAAACTCCTCTACATCTTTCCTTTTCTGGCTTGATCATCAGGTTATCAAAGAAAGCTAATGCTAGTAGCCCATGCCTGTAATTAATTGTAGCTACTGAGGAGGCTGAGATCCAGGGGACTGTCTGTGATTGAGGCCAGACTATGCAGAAAAATCAGTGAGATTTCATATCCAAAATAACCAGCAAAAAAACAGATGTATGGTTCAAGTGATAGAGTTAAGAGCTGAGCCTGAGTGAGGCTGAATTCAAATTCTGCTTGTGAGAGCCTGAAAACCCAAGCTGTGAGATCCCAGGAGGATTGAGTTTGAGATGCCTTCTCCCAACGAACTCTCAGGACACTGAGAGTTTCCTGAAAAGGTCAATCAGTCCAGGCTTAGCAAAATTCAGATTTCTATCCTGGGTGTAGGCTAACTCTACCCACAACTGAATGGGAGCCTGAGAGTAGACTTAGGTTTATGCAAATTGCACTCCTTCTCAGTATAAGGTCATCCACCACTTGTATACAAAATATTGTCATCTGTAGAAGTTTGTACATTACTTGCTACACAAGACCAATAAAAACCTTGGCGAATGGAACCTTGGAATCTGAAGCTGGAGGAAGGCTACAGGTCCCCTGGTGCCCAGACCTCTATCTCACAGTCCAGTCTCCATTACTGCCTTGTTCCTAGTTGTATCAGGTTAAGAGGCACGGGGTGGGTTCTAACACCACTGACAAAAAAGGAAAAGGAGAAGGGAGGAAAGAGAGAGGAGGGAGGGAAGGAGGAAGGAAAGGAAGGAGGGAGGGAGGGAAAGAGGGAAGGAGGGAGAGAGAAAAGGAAAAGAGAAGAGAAGGAAAATGGAAGAAGTAAAATTGGACCAGTTTGGGGTCTGGAACTTAAAAAAAAGCTGGGAACAGAGCAGCTTGATATAGGGGCACAAGCTGATGATTCTGGCTCTCAGATAGAGGCAGAAAGATCATAAGTTTGAGTGAAACAAAGTTTTGTCTACCCTCCCCCCCCCCCCCCCCGCTGGTCGTGGGGCTTGAACTCGGCCTGGACGCTGTCCCTGCACTCTTCAGCTCAAGGCGAGAGCTCTACCTCTTAAGCCACAGCACCACTTCCAGTTTTCTAGTGGTTTATTTGGAGATAAGAGTCTCACGGACTTTTCTGCCTGGGCTGGCTTTGAACCATGATCCTTAGATCTCAGCCTCCTCAGTAGCTAGGACTACAGGCGTGAGCCACCATTGCTTGGCCAGTGAAACAAAGTTTACACAGCAAGTTCAAAGCTAACCTGAGCTCCACAGTGAGATAGTTTCAAAACACCAAGAGTTAGAGAGAGATTCAACTCAGTGGCAGAGTTTTTTGACATATACATCCTTAAGTATGATACTCAGCATCACAAAAAAAGAAAACAAGGAAGCATAAGTAACCTTGAATAGAAATGCCTATATAGAAAGGAACTGAGATTCAATTTGTGTGTGTGTGTGTGTGTCTTGGTCGTAGAGCTTGAACTCTGGGCCTAGGTGCTGTCCCTCAGCTCTTTAGCTCAAGGCTAGTGCTCTACCACTTCAGCCACAGTGCCACTTCAGGATTTTTCTGTTTATGTGGTGCTGAGGAATCAAACCCTGGGCCTCATGCATGTGAGGCAAGCACTCTAACCACTGAGCCACCTCCCCAGCCCTGATAATTCAGTTTTTTAACTGCCCTGTGAATAAACCCTCTTGGATATAAATTTTTCAGGCCAACTCATGCAACTACATTCACCAAGCTCTGTCAAAACTGCCCATTCAGGAATAAAACAGATGACTGACTAGTTCCCAAGTGACCAAGCTGTGATTAGATAGGCACAGCAGTGGAAATCTCCTCCCTCTCTGAAATACAAGGAGCGAATATATCAAATAACTTGTAAAAAAAAAGAAGTCTACTCTGAATGTACAAATGATTGAAGGATTGATTCCCACTGTTTTCCCAAATGCATACCAGGCAACCCACCAAAAATAAGTGCAGACAGGCTGACTCCAGCAGGGCAATCTAAGGCTAGCTGTAAACTTTCCCTCGTGGCCCCAACCCAAAAGCTACCACCTCCCTTGGCCTTTGAGGCTTCATTAACCTCTGCCTCCTGGCTCAGACCTCATAACCCAGCTCCTGTCCGAGCTCTGATAACGTTCTCCAAGGCTGTGCATCTCACTGCTCTATATCTCAATAAACAGCCTCATGTGTGGAAGATTGAGCCTGGCCTGTTTCTTTCCTTTCTCCTCCATTTTCCTAACAATGATTATATATCCCAATAAGGAATTCGGCTCCATGCTTTTTTTTTTTAAAGGACACTGCACTGAGAGCTCCAACCCATGCCTAGTTCTAAGGATATAGGGAGAAAGAAGAAAGGGGCAGGCTGAGAGTCTATTCAATCTTACCCAAATAAAATTGTTGGGGGGAGGGTACTTCTGACTTAGAAAGGATTAGCCACAGAAGAGCTCAGATGGACTAGATAGGTGCCATTTGTTATTGACAATAAGAAGCATGGATACCCAGCTCAAGAAAACAATGACTGGAAAGACAAACCTTTGCCTTTAAATCTTTTTTTTTTTTTTTGGTCAGTCGTGGGGCTTGAACTGTGGGCTCGGGCGCTGTCCCTCAGCTCTTCAGCTCAAGGCAAGCGCTCTACCACTTGAGCTACAGCGCCACTTCCTAAATCTTAACTCATGTAACAAAGTTGCTATTTAAAGAGAAAAAACTAAGAACTCAAAGCTAGCAGTAACTCTAAGTCTTCCCTCTAGCCACACACTGATCATTTCCATGAGAACATTAACATGTCCTGTTTTCTATTTCAAAACATGTTGCAAGGGCTGGGAAGGTGGCTCAGTGGTAGAACGCTTGCCTTGCATGCATGAGGACCTGGGTTCGATTCCTCAGCACCACATAAGCAAAAAGAAAAAAAAAGCTGTAAGTGGCGCTGTGGCTCAAGTGGTAGAGCGCTAGCCTTGAGCTGAAGAACTGAGGGACAGCGCCCAGGCCCAGAGTTCAGGCCCCATGACCGGACCCAAAAAAAAAAAACCCCAAAACAAAACAAAAAAAACCAAACAAACATAATGCAAACTTCTGCATTACCACCACACTTCTCCCTTTAGTTATTCACTGCCCCAATTCTGATTCCCAAAACTGGGCCTCCTCCCAGGCATAGTTCACACCTATAGTCCCAGGAGGTAGAGATCAGGAGGATCACTTGGTAGAGTCCAGTATGTAAGGGGGTGGGGGGTGGGGGAAGGAGATGAAGGAATACCTTAACCAAAAAGCCAGGTGGAGTGGCACAATCCTGTCATTTACTTGGGAGATGTAAAAATTGTGTAGTCTAGCTAGTATAGGCAAAAATGCAGGACCATATTAAATTATGAAGTAAAGGACAGCAGCGTGGCTCCAGTGGTTTTATAACACACTTGCCTAGCAAGGGTGAGATACTGAGTTCACCCCAATACCTCCAAAAAAGAAAAAAAGGAGGGAGAAGTCCCTGATGCCTCTTCAGTCAGTCCCCAATTTACCCCACCATTAAACCCCTAGCTGTAACTGTAAAGGTCCCCTTTGGTAAGTCCAAAGGTTAATGCTCCATCCACGGTGAGTAGATGAAGCAGCAGGATTTCACACAGCCTATTACACCAAACTCCCTGGGACTAAGTTTCTTTGCTTGCTTTCAGGACTCCTCCTGGCTCTCATCCCGTATCTACCTTACATCTGCTTTGTAGCTTAACTCCCCAAATCATCTCAACATCCCCAACTTATTTTCTTGAGCTAGGTATCCATGTTTATTATTTCCAATAATCAGGGGCCCTTCTCTAGCCCTTCTGATCTACTATGTGTGGATTTCATATCACAAAGTGAAAAGTTCCTAATTTTGAACCTTTTACCAAATGTTTAAATCTAAGATAAACATATTAAAAACAAACAACAAAAATCCTGTCACTCTAGCAGCTTACAGATTGCCTAGTGCAGACAACCCAGCAGGCCCCATCACCATTTACAATAAAGGAAACATGATGCTTTACTGAAAGCCAAACAAGCTGAAATCAAAAGATAAATGGAGCCCAATACACAGCCGTTCCTGATGGGCTAGCTTTTAACGGTGTTTACAATGTTTTAACTGGAGTTCAAAAATTCATTGAAGAATGAATTGTGATAAAAATCTGGGCTAAATCAACTCGAATAGCCTTTAATGTTTAGGGAAAATGAATACTTTTTTTTCTTTCTACAAAAGACAAGACAAATCAAGTTGTGAAAGCTAGAGATTTATTGTTATTTTGTGATTAATAAATCATCAAATTGGTTATGACACTGTCCCACACTGTACACCACCATTCACCAGTACAAAAGTCTAGCAAAGACACATGAATTCCATCCATAACAACCTCCTCTAAGCATGCCTCCACCCTGACCTTCGTACATGCTTTCCTCTTGGGGAAAGTGTCTAAACAGTGAATGCACTGGTGGGCAACCTGGCCTCCTGACCTTTTTTTAGAAGCAAGCAACTTACAGAAGTAATGGAATTCAACTTGTATTTCCCTTGATTTTACTGGTCTGAATTCATTTTAGGTTATTTTAACATTGTAATTTTCCTGTAACTGTACACAAGAGAATATAATGACCTAAGAGAATACTGAACCAGAGTCAGCCAAATATATTTCTGACCCTAAAGTTATGTTTTAATTGGTCCTAAAGGAATGTACCACCCCAACAATTTGAGAGTTAGACAAACAGAACTTCTTTGGGAAAGGAAGAAAAAGGCGATTAGCCAAATGTACTCAACATTGTTTAAACGGCTCTTTGTTTTTCACCCCGAATGATACTTCATTACTACACTATATGCACAAAAATCCTAACAGAATCTTGGCTGCCAGTATTATTTAGTTTAGGCTGGCCCAATCCAAGATAGATTCCGTCTTACCCCCCCTCCCCCATTCACCCTTCTCTGAGGATCTGAAAAGCACAATATTTAACTATTTCTTAGAACTATCCAAACACTTCAGAAACAATTGGCTCACAAATCATTTTAAATTCATGTATTGCCTGTACATGAGAAAACTGATAAACCCAAAAGATAGTTCTATTTTTATGTGGCAATTAAAAACTGAAACATCAACACTTTCAGTGAAAGCAACATTTCAATTACAAATTGTAATGCCTATTAAACTACCTATGGGAGAAGCTGAAAAGTCCTAGGCAAATGCATTTTGGGGTATACTACAGTGCTCCTTCAGTAAGCACAGAGATTAAGGTAATTTACAGTCAATCTGTGAATGCTGAGACAAAGTTACATTATGTTGTCTACACAATTAAATGTCCTATAACAGATAACCAGAATCAGCTTTTCCTTATTTTCAACAAACCTGACTGGCACTTCTGCTGAGAGATGTTTATCAAAGATGCTGTAAGATTCTATACAACTAGGAAATACTTGGGAGTATTTCCTTATCTTTACTTTTTTGGTTACAGGTGTTTTTGCTCATATAACCTATTATGTTTCTAGAAATGCAATCCCAAATGTGCATACTGTATTGTATACAAAGAAAAAAATCGTCAATAGTATAAATCTTACAGCATTGCAAAAATACATGCCAAAGTCACAATAAGCAATATTTTACTACAAATTATAGTGCGCAAATGATTTGCTTCTTTTTTAATGCTTTTATTCTACATAAATTACTACCATAGGCTAATGTTAAAAAGCAAATAAATTGGACAGATGCAGGACAAAAATCTGTTCACCCAATTATAAAAGGTGTTTTTTAAAAAAAATTACAATAAATGCAGAAGTGTTTAATGCATGCAGTAGCCTTAAATGAAAAAGCATTGATTCCCACTGTTCCAAAAAAGAAAAATACAGAAAAAAACCCACACATCTTACTGTACTCCACCTTAAAATGCCATCATATTGGGTTGTTTATAACAGCACAGAATTCCAAGAGTCAAAATGAAATAAAGCAGGTATTTTAAAGATTTAAGAGCCGTTATCAAAAATAAATTACATTTTTTTCCAAGATACAGAAATTCTGCTATGATGGTTGGGAACCCAGTAACCGTTCAATAGCTGCATTGATGTCACCTCCTGTTGCTATTAGGGCTTGTAAGTTTGCTTCGCGGTTCAAAAAGCCCATTGCACTGAGCTGCTCCAGTTGTTGCTGAAATCTGACTTCTGGATTCTGTAGCTGTTAAAAGAAAAATCAAACTCTAAAGCAAACCAGTCCATGTCACATCTAAACAACTTTTCAGTTTTTCTGGTGTCAGGGTTTGAACTTGGGGGGGGGGGTGGTTCACACTCACTCGACTTTCTTCCTCACAGCTGCTGGATGTTCCACACTTCAGCATCTTCTCTAGACTCGCTTTCTGTAGTCACTTTGGACTCCCTTAGACTATCCTGCATGGGCTGGCTTCAAAGCCCAACTCCTGGGTCTTAGCTTCCTAAGTAAGGATTACAGGCTAATCCACTGACAATTAGCTACTTAAAATGCTTTTTAGAATATATTTTAGATAACACATGCTGGTTTACTGAACTATTAAAGTACTATCTCTTTAAACATATTTTAAGTTCTTAAAAGTAAAATTGCAGCCAGGTGCCTGTGGTTCACACTTGTAATCCTGGCAACTCAGGGAGCCTGAGATACGAGGATCATGGTTCAAAACCAGCCTAGGCAGGCAAGTCCGTGAGACTCGTATCTCCAATAAACCAGCAAAAAAAAAAAAAATCTGCATCTCATATTAGCCTCGATCATGTCAAGCTTTACTAATAAAACCACTGCTGGGCGCCAGTGGCTCACGCCTGTAATCCTAGCTACTCAGGAGGCTGAGATCTGAGAATCACGGTTCAAAGCTAGCCCAGACAGGAAAGTCTGTGAGACTCTTATCTCCAATAAACTACTAGAAAACCAGAAGTGGCACTGTGGCTCAAGCGGTAGAGCATTTGCCTTGAGCTGAAGAGCTGAGGGACAGCACCCAGGCCCAGAGTTCAAGCCCCATGACCAACAAAAAACCAAAACAATAAAACTACATTATCTTAGAAGCTCATGATCAAGAAGAAAAATTTAAAAACATATATACAAATAGATGAAATTGAATGAATTCTTTTATGTAGCTACTGACCAGTTGAGTGCCCTTCCCTTGTGTTAAAATATGTTCCAGGGGCTGGGAAGGTGGCTCAGTGGTAGAGTGCTTGCTTTGCATGCCTGAGGCCCTGGGTTCGATTCCTCAGCACCACATAAACAGAAAAAGCCGGAAGTGGCACTGTGGCTCAAGCCGTACAGCACTCGCCTTGAGCTGAAGAGCTGAGGGACAGCCCCCAGGCCCAGAGTTCAGGTCCACAACCGGCAAAAAAAAAAAATGTTCCAATGAGGTTTACAATATGGGCTCAATCTCAACACTAGCTATTGAATTCTAGTTTCAGATCCACAAACTATACTTCTAATCCTGACGATTCAACCACATGGTATCTTTCTTCAGAAATGAGGCTAATCACAGAAAAAGCAGGAAGTGGAGCTGTAGCTCAAGTGCTAGCCATGAGCTAAAGAGCTGAGAGACAGCGCCAAGGCCCAGAGTTCAGGCCCCACAACCAAGGGTGGGGGGAAGGGTGGTGAGGAGTGGGGAATGAGGCTAAACAAAAACACATGAATATCCAGACAACCCTGTTCTACCTGGTAATGGTGAGAGAGGCTTATAGGCTGTTCAATTTATGTAACAGTTCTGTCCAAAACTCAGTACCTAGGTACCAAGAATTCAAACACCTAGGTACCAAGAATTCATATAAAATAGCATTCTCCCTTTATTGCATTAAGACTCAAAAAAAAAAATCTAGGAGGTGGGTATTTGTAGCTCATGGTTGTATTGCTCATGCTTGCTATTCAGAAGTCTGAGACCTGGAAGACTGAGATTTAAAGGCAGTCAAGGCAGAAAAGTCAGAGAGACTCTTAGAGGCACGGATGAAGTGGTAGAGCACCAGCGATAAGTAAAAAAGCTGAGAGCAAAAGGCCCTGAGATCAAGCTCTGGTACTGTCCCTCAAAAAACAAAACAAGGCCTTGAAACATTTTTCCACATGCAGAAGTTTGGGCAACTCATCATACCAGTTTATAATGCTGGACGTCAGTGTCTGACACCTGTAATCCCAGCTACTCTAAGAGGCTAAGATCTGAGGATCAAGGCAGGAAAATCTATGAGAGTTTTATCTCCGATTAACCAACAAGAAGCTAGAAGCAGAAATATGTGGCAGAGTACTAGCCTTGAGCAAAAAAAGCTGAGAGACAGTATCAGGTTCTGAGTTCAAGCCCAGGACCAGTACATGCATGCATGTGCGCACACATGCACACCTCATTTATAAATATCTTTGTCCAATGGTAGGCTCTTAGTAAAAAGCCAATATTTATAACCACATAAACAATATTGAAGGGGTCCCTGTTTTTGAGGTAGACATGTAACACAAGTTACCACAGGAGTGATAAAATGATGGATGGGATCAGTGATTTTCTTTTTATTATTTTCATTTGAAAATGCTAAAAACAGAAGGGTTATAGTTACATAAGTCAGGCAAAATGTATATTTCCTTTTGGACAATGTCACCCTTTCCCTTGCTCTCTACCAGTTTTTCCCTCCCAGCCATCCACAAGTTGTGTAGCTCATTTTCGTTTTTTCTTTTGGTTCCAGTCGTAGGGCCTGAGCGCTGTCCCTCAGCTCTTCACCTCAAGGCTAGCGCTCTACCACTTGAGCCACAGCACCACTTCTGGCTTTTTTTTCCTGCTTATGTGGTGCTGAGGAATCGAACCCAGGGCCTCATGCATGCAAGGCAAGCGCTCTATCACTAAGCCACCTTCCCAGCCCCATGTAGCTCATTTTCAACAATGTCTAGTGAGTACCATTGCTGACTTATTCACCCTTTTTCCCGCTGTTTCTGTGCCTCCCCTTACCCTCCCAAAGACATACAAACTAACTTTTCAAAGTAAAAAAGAAACGCCGATACAGTTGTCCTGCAGTACTGAGGACATCAAATTTCTATTCCTGACAAACTTTCATAAAACAAAACCATTTCAAATGACTTTCAAGCATGGACTTCAACAAAGTACTTTTTTAAAGGATGCTTCTATAAATTATGGTCTGTAGCCCATGCCTACTTAAGACACCAAGATGGGAAAGATCAGTTCAAGGCCAGCCTTGAAGGCATATCCCTTTCTCAACCAATAGCTGGGTGAGTCGGCAAATGCTTCTCTTCCTGCCAAGGTGGGAGTCCAGGATAGCCCAGGTGAAAAAGTTCACAAGACACCATCTGCCAGTAGAAGCTGGGCATGGTAGAATACACCTGTCATCCCAGGTATAATGGGAAGCCTGAAATAGGCAGAGCAAGGTCTATGCATGTGCCTGGGCAGAAGTGGAATTCCCTCTCAAATATAATAATGGGGGGGAAAAGAGGGCTGAGGGGGATTGGAGGTAGGATGGCTCAATGGTACAGTATCTGCTTAGCAAATAAAGGCCTTAAGTTCAAACTCCAGTGTTGCCAAAAGAAAAAAAAAATTATAAGCTAACGCATTCTTCGCCACTTTAGTATCTGATATAGCAACCAACTTAACATAATCTGTACAATATGTTTCCACATTCAATTCCTTAAAATTTCATTAGTCTAATATGAAGGGCAGCTACTGTCCTTTCCTTTTTGGAAATTTTAAATTTCTAATAATTGAATGAGAAATTTAAACAACCCTGTTACCTGTGGGTTTACTCCAGCCAGAGCCTGTAGCATTTGTTGAATGAACTGCTGGTGTCCAGGTTGTTCAGTAGTTCCTGCTGTGGGGCTTGCATTTTCACTAGGTGCAGTGTTAGCTCCAGTGGTTCCTGAAGGACCTCCAGTGCTTCCTAATGCCCCCAAGCCAGGATTAAATCTAGGGGAAAAAGTACTAGTAAGTAACAAACCCAAGTTCTTGTAAAACTAGAAGCCAGGTCAGGTGGTAAATCAGTTATATTTTAACATAGTATTAGCTAAATTAGCCTCTTAAAATGATCGCTTGCAACATTGAAAACTGAAAGCACTCTTAACAAAAAAGGCAAAAGAATATTGAATCTGAAATCTTCAATGTAGCCATTATGCACAAACTTTCCTGAAGTAGTCCTACCCTGGGATAAGGCCGGGGGCTTCGGTTGCCAAAGTCTGTAAACCCTGCTGAATCTGTAGCAAGGCCTGCATTGCTCTAGGATTTGACATTGCTGATAATGTATCAGGATTCTGCATCTAAGAGAAAAAAAAATGAAACATTAAGTAGTCTCAGAAAAGGAAAATAAATGGTGAAATTTTATTTTTTTGTTGTTGCTATTTTTTTTTGAGAAAATTAAAAACTTTACTCCCAGACCCTGGTAATCCATTAACTTCTTCCCAAAATAAACACAAATCTTCTTTAACAGCAAACCTAGTGTAAAAAAACATGACTTGACCTCCCAAATCAATCATAAAAGCCATTTCAGAACTACTTTGAAAACCACAACTATTCTGTTCCTCAAAAAAAGCAAAGTTTCATTCTTGGGGGGGAGAGGGGGAAAGGTGCTTGGAGCCACATACTCCTCTTCTGACCAAGTGATTTTGGTACTAATTACCAGTAATGTATACTCAAACGAAAGTTCCAAATTTGAAGATGACACATGTGTCCTGAGTTTCCAGATTTCACCTATTTCCAAATATCCACCACCTGACTGACCAACTAAACTTACATCATCACAATAGATCAAGGACACTAACCAACCTTGTAGAATGGTTTACAAGCCTGACAATCATTTACATAAACACCACCATTTCAAAAACACCACAAATAACTTCTTTTATCTTCTTAAATAATAAAACACCATGGCAATCTTAGGTACGTTTTTATAATAAAACCTTCCTTACATGACAACACTGACAATTTTATTCCTACTAACTCCAAGTTTAAGGAAATGAGTTCTACCCCTTAGAGAAAATAGGCTTTCTACTAATTTAGAAAAAACCAAACCGAACCTATAAAATAGAATAGGGTAGCTCTTTCCTGTCACTCAAGAGTAGTTAAACCATAAAGTATAATGTAACACAAGGAAGTACTTCAAAGTTAGAAAGGTGAAAGGAAATGGCTCATGATATTAACAACGCATTCAAAATCCTAAATCCTCAAAAACAAGATGGTTCTTTCCTCACAAGTTACATTTCAGAAATACAGCAAAATGTCAGCAGTGAAATGGGAATCAGGTAGGATCAAGCTGAATTCTCTGCAAGGAATTGACAGCACTTATATGCTGTTTTGCATTTTGCTATCAGCCAGAAAAGAGCAAGGAAAATATTCATCAAAGTTTTTCAAGCAAATCATTATGGAAGATAGCTAGCATCTTTTCTTACTCACTTGTTGTAGGAAAGTTGGGAGTTGTTGTCTCATTTGTTCTTGAAGCTGAGGGTTTCCAGCAAATAGGGGATTATTCAGCATCATCTATGGGGCAAGTGTTCAAACAATTTTAACTAGAAATATCTGAAACAAGTAATGTACCTTGTTTAATATTCTATCTTCCTCCAGAGGCCTAATTTGGCATTTGAAAAGGAAGAAGGTAGAATGTAGATAAAAAAGGAAAAAGGAATATACTATCCCGAGGGATCTCCAAAAACCAGAAACAAAAATGAGGTCTCCTTTCTCTCAACAAGAATGGTGAATATGGTAATGACATGCAATATCCTAAAAAATAAAAGCAATCATTTTCTTAGCTTTTTGTGCAAAGATGAATTTTTGCCTTGGAAAGAAAAGTGGGAGTAACTGGTTCTTATGATGATGTATTTGCAGCTACACTGTCAGAAGAAACATAAACATCAATATATTTTAAAACTATGTATTTTGCTTGCTTAGAAACCTCCACACAAATGGCAAGCACAGAGAAAATCCAGATCTGGAACCATTGTATCTACCTATTACAAAACAGCTAATAGTAGGTCCAGAAAAATAACACCACAAAACATCAACCAACTTGCCAGAGAAATGAAGCTGCTAGGTCAAAAACAGCCAAAACTAGCACCGACAGTCCTCTGGGGAACATGCTAAAATGTTTTAAGATCTGAAAGATGTAAATCCATTTAAGAAGACCAAGATTAGCAAAAAGTCATGGTTTATATTAACATGTTGGATACCTGAAAATAAGATTACAATACACAATCAGCAAAACCAGGAAACGAATAAATTCTCTCAGCTTCAAAAAAGCCAAATCTCATACCACTTTTCCCAAAGTGAAAAATCAACTAACAATGATTTACTAATAGCCTATTTATGTGCCCAAAGTCTGGGAGAAAATAATGCTTGCCCTCAATTAAATAACCATGTTGAAGAGCAGGTATATATAAATGCTGAAAGAAAAGAATTTCTGTTGCCCTCTATCCAGTTATCTATCGTTGCAAAGCAGATCACTTAACATAATGAAGCAGGAAGAAGTTAAACAATATTTTATGGATATATAGTTTATTTCCAAGTAACTAAAAAAATACCTACTGAGACCAACAAATCTGTTTCTTTATTAGATCAGTCAAATACCTCTTGGCTATGAACACATAAGAACCATATTTACTTTTCAACATTTGTTACTAAAGCTAATCTAGGAAAAAAAAAAAACCACCACCTCAAACATACTCAATTCTTTCTCAGAAAAATCATCTCTTTTGAATATACTTCTCCTTACCTGGCTTCATACCATTTAGGTATTTACATTTAAGATCTCTAACACTTAAAAATCAAAAAACTATGTGATGTAATATTCTGATACAGAATACATTGTAAAAGTTGCTTAATTTTTTATATTAAAAGGAGCCCTTATCTAATATTCTTTGTCAACATTTTTGCTTTAGAGTGTAAAAAAATCATTATGTGGGAATTGTTAAAGTCCCCTTAGAATGTAAAATTATTACGTAAGGCTAGGAACATTATAAGTCAAATGTTAAAAGATGAACATTCAGTACTATTGAATATGTATTCCTTAACATACATATATAACCACTATATACATTTTGTTCCAGTTTTTTATTTTTCCCTTGTTACTAATTTTAAACAAATGTAACCATTTTTAGCTTTTTTTTACTGTTAATTCACTAATTATATGAGTCTGATAATTTTCAAATTAATGAAACTTTCATAAAACTATTGGCAATATAAAATATTTTAAATACAAATATTACTCGATGCTAAAGCCAAGCACTGATGGCTTATATCTGCAATACCTACATAGGAAGCTATGAATGTGAGGATCATAGTTCAAGGCCAGCACAACCAGAAGAAAGTCTACAAGATGGACTCTTATAAGAGGGAAGCTGGGCCTTGGTTGCAGATGCCTGCCATTTCACCAATGACAAGAAGCCTAAAATAGATGGAATGCAGTATAGACACACACCTAGGCAGTTAATCAGACATTATTTCAAAAATAAGCAACACTGGCTGGGAAGGTGGCTCAGTGGTAGAGTGCTTGCCTTGCATGTATGATGCCCTGGGTTCGATTCCTCAGCACCACATAAGCAGAAAAAAGCCAGAAGTGGAGCTGTAGCTCAAGTGGTAGAGCGCTAGCCTTGAGCTGAAGAGCTGAGGGACAGCACCCAGGCCCAGAGTTCAGGCCCCACAACTGGCACCAAAAAAAAAAAAAAAAAAAAGCAACACTAAAACAGGAAGAGGTGTAGCTTAATTATAGAACTCAGGTGTAGCAAGTGGGAGGGTCCAGAGGTCACAGTAGGGGAGAGGGAATAATGAATGGATCGTTCATTAGTTATTTAACTATTTCCAATTTTACAAGCAGTTACTGAAAATTTAATCTTCAGTAGATATACTTTATATCATATAGTTTTAGGGTTTAAAAAACAAAAACATGTCATCTGATATAATGAAGTGATTCATTAAAATTTTTTTTAACCAGTTGTTTAAAGATACAGGTGGACCTATTGCAACAATGAGAAGTACAAGTTGTCATGTCCAAAACGAGCTTTACAACGTCGGGGCGGGGAAGGAGAAGGATTGGGATTGGGGGGGAGGGGGGAGGCTGGGAAGGGATGTGAAGGGTAAACAAAAGGAGGAGGCTGCAATGCTTGGTAAGAAATGTACGCATTATCCTGCCCATGCAATTGTAACCCCTCTGTACAGTATGTTCACAAATAAAATAAAAAAAAATTTTTTTTAATTTAAAAATTAGATTAGGGCTGGGAATGTGGCTTAGTGGTAGAGTGCTTGCCTCCCAAGCTTGAAGCCCTGGGTTTTATTCCTCATAAACAGAAAAGGCTGGAAGTGGCACTGTGGTCAAGTGGTACAGCACTAGCCTTGAGCACAGAGATGCTCAAGGACAGTGCACAGGCCTTGAGTTCAAGCTCCAGGATCAGCAAAATAAATAAGTAAAAACTAAAAAATAAATAAAGTAGATTAACTATGAAACATTCCGAATTCCCAACACTCAACTTAGCCCATTTTTAATGAATGGCAAATATATGAATGGCCGAGGCTTAATTCACATCCTCCATCAAGCCTACTGGTGCAAAATCTATGTGACAGATCGGGATCTCCTACAGAATCTGAGGGACTTAAAAAAAAGAAAACCAGAAAGTAAGATCCAACACAAGTTCATCAAAATCTCTAAGGATGAGGTCAAGGATCAGTGTGTGTGTGCCTGTGTGTGTGTGTGTAAGTGTGTGTGTGCGCTTAAACTCAGAGTCTGGGTGTTGTCGCTGAGCCTCTTTGTGCTCAAAGCTAGAGCTCTATCATTTGAGCCACAGCCACTTCTGGTTTTTGAGTGGTGGTGGAGATAAGTGTTTCATGGGGACTTTTCTGCCCAGGCTGGATTCAAACTCGATCCTCAGATCTCAGGCTCCAGAGTAGCTAGGATTACAGGTGTGAATCACCAGCACCCAGCTTGGTACTGTTTTAAAGCTCCAAGTAAAGCTCAATGTTTCAATACATAAGTTTTCTCAGTTATGATCTCTTTAGAAACATATTAGTAGTGAGTAGATCAGTAAAAGACAAAGAATGTCAATAATGGAAGTGGCTTATAATGGAAAGAATGAGAGCATTCTTCCTGAAAGTATGCTTGTTTTTAAAACACAATTTGAGGATATTTTACAAATATGTTTAGTTTGACTAAACATAGTTTAACAAAGTTTAACATAGTTAAACTAAGCCACCTAATACACAACATTTCAAACATTGATAGTGCTCTAAAAGATTCACATTTCACAGACACACCTATCTTACAAAGCAATCCAAAACTGTTGTCTTCATTTCCTAAGTTAATTAACATAGATCGATTTTATAAGCTTGCAGTTCTAACCAATTACAGCAGTGAAGTTTTAAGATTTATTTACTTTTTATTATTATTTTTGTTTACGTGGTACTGAGGACTGAACGGCAACCACTAAGCCACATGCCCAGTCCCTGATGTTTTTATTTTATATAAAATAAGCTGCCCCCCAAAACTCGGAGATGCAGTTTGCCTACATCGCCAGCGTGTTCAGACATCACAATGCAAATTTGCCCAATCAAGATGATCAGTTATTAAGTTCAAACTTCCATCTTCAATATATTTATAAACTCACCTGTGCAGCAAGGTCAGGATTCTGGCTTAGTGACTGCATCATGCTCCTCATGTACGGGGCAGACAACATGTTTTGCATAAGTTGTGGGTTTTCAGTTATTTGCTGCAACAAGCTCTGCATTCCTGGTGTGTTGAACATACTAGCTGAAAGTTTATTTAAAAAAAAAAAGACATACACTTAAGTAAAACTTTAATACAACAAATACCTCCCTCACTTAAGTTTTAGTAACTGCAACAATCATCCCCTTATCCAGAGATTTGTTTTATAGTTTTGGTTACCAAACCCATGGTCAACCATGACCTCTCAAAATTTAACAGAAGGTTCCAGAATAATTTCTAAGTTTTAAATTACACTGTTCTGAGAGCATTAATGAAATCTCATGATGTTCTGCTCCATCTTTTTGTCAGTCATGTCTATACTATATATCTACCTACATATTAGTCACTTAGCAGCTAACTCAGTTATCAAACTGACCCTTATTTTACTCAGTTATGGCTTTAAAGCATAAGAATCATGACACTGACAATTCGGAGGGGCCAAAAAGTGAAGCCACAACGTGCAAAATCTATGCAAAAAGGTAACTAATTTGATATAAGGGAAAATTAAGTCATATGCAGAGAGGTTGCAAAGGTCTATAAGAAAAAATTTCTGTATCTCTGTGAAATTGTGAAGGAAAAAGAAGCTCATGCTATTTTTGCTATTATACCTCAAACTGTAAAAATTTCATCCGCAAGCACTAATAAGTGCTTCGTTAGAATAGAAAAGGCATTAAATTTGCATATTTATGTCTAAGAAAACAATGTGTTACCAGGTATCAATGTTTTTTTATTTAGATCTTCTACCAGGAGCCTTGGAACATGTACAAGATGCAGGAAACAAAAACTATACTATATACATATTATGCATCAACTAAGGAAAAAAACTAAAACCAAGATCCCAAAAGTATATATACTAGTAAAACAAAAATGACTTTAATTAGAATTCTGGTTGTATTTACAGTAAAAATCACATCTACTGGCAAAACTAAGTTCTAAAGTCTGTTTAAGGCAAAATTCAGACATGCTGAAATTATTCTTGAAAAAAATCTCACATGGAAATCTAGGTCATGGTCTGAGACAACTTTTCCCAGGATTACACACACACACAAAGTCACGGGATCATATTCAGCCGTCAACAGTACTCCTGGAGGAATAAAAATATATAAAGTCTCCATCCCATATCCACTAAATGCATGCAGGCACATTTGGCAGGCATGTTTGACACTTGGGAGAGACTTTAGAGAATAGTGACTAAAAGCAGCATCTGGAACCAAATTACCTGAGCTCAAATCCAACCTAACTATACAACTTTGGGCAAATTATTTAGCTTTTGCATACTTCTGTTCCCCATCTATAAAATGGAAAAAATAGCGTCTACTTCATAGGATGGTTGTAATGATTCAATTAATGAGTGAAGAACTTGTTAAAAATGTTTTGTTCAGCCATATGCCGTTGGCTCACGCCTATAATCCTAGCTACTGAGGAGGCTGAGACCTGAGGATCACGGTTCAAAGCCAGCCTGGGCAGGAAAGTCCATGAGACTCTTATCTCCAATTAACCACCAGAAAATCGAAAGTGGTGCTGTGGCTCAAGCGGTAGAGTGCTCGTCTTCAGCTGAAGAACGCAGGGATAGCACCCAAGCCCAGAGTTCAAGCCCCATGACCGACAAAAAAGTTTTGTTCGTACTCATTATTTACTCATGTAACTGTAACTCTTCTGTACAGTATCTTTACAATAAAAAATATAATAAAAATATTTCGTTGTTGGAAGTTACAGTTGAATTTATATAAAATTCAGTAGTGATTAACTCATTTATATAGGTATTTCTTTTGTGTTTAATTTATGCATTTTCAATTGCTGATTAGATATTTAAACTTAAATGTTTTCTAAGTTATTATATCAAGTGAACTCACTTAACTTTTTCATTTCTCTTCTGATTCTCCCATCTAATGAGAATACTTTTATTAAGCTTAAAACATTTGATTCTTTCCACTTATCTATTTTATTGCAACTGCAGTTTGTAATAATTTTTTTCCCTATTTTCTCAAGTTGGAAGTCTCAATTTTGTCTTTTCTCACATCCTAGAAGCTAAGAATACTCTAATACAAGTTGGTAAACTACAGGCTGCAGGATAAATCTGGATATAATGTTTTTGTACATCTCAAAAGGTAAGAATTGCTTCTACATTTTTAAATGATTAGGGGCAGGGTAGGGAGGAAATAATAAAGACAAAAAGGTTTGGTCATGATAGCTCAAACTTGTTATCCCAGCTACTCTAGAGACAGAAATCAGAAGGATGTAGGTTAGAGGCTGCTCTAGGCAAGAGGTTAAGCACATCTTCATCTCAACAAATAGGTTAAACTCTGATGAAATATGTATCATCCCAGAAGAAAAACTGTAGTCCAGTCCAGCCCAACTGTGAAACCCTATCCAAAAAGGAAACTAAAGCAAAATGAATGGGAAGCATGGCTCAAGTGGTAGAGTACAAGTGCAAGGCCCCAGGCTCAAACCCCAGTATTGGGGGGGGGAAATGTAGTGAAGATAATTATTTTTTAAAACATGGAAACTATGAAATTCCATTATCAGTGTCTATAAATACCATTTTGTTGGACCATTCATGCTGATACATTTATTGCCCACAGGTGCTGTGGCACTAGAAAAGCAGAGCTAGAAGACTTGTGACAGTCTATGGTGCTAATCACTGCTTCACTCTACTGAGCACTGTACTCCAAACCAAATTATAGTGAGTCAGTTAAAACTCAGGCTACACAAAATCCTTCTCGCATCCTGTTTTTCTTAATTATCAATACATACCAACCATATGAAGAAAAAGGCTATGAATATCATACTTTTAAGGCACAGTTGAAAATAAAATGTTCTATCAAATGATATTGGAAAACACTCTTTATTGTGTAATGAAATTAAAGAACATAACATGTAGACATTTCTAGAATAAATACTTCTCCCAATACCCCAGTCAGATATGATGACATGCACCTGCAATCCCAGCATATGGGAGTGCCCAAAATTGAGCTTCTAAAAAAGCCTAGCATGGAATAACTAAGGTAAAACTATTTCCAAAGAAATTGAAGGTCACTAATTCAACTTGAGCCTGGGCTACATTGCTAACTAGCAATACCATCTCAAAACAAAGGCAATCGACTCTCTATCCCCCCAACTGACAGGAAGATGGGACAGAAAGATGAATTTCAGAACAACCTGGGATACATAATGAGAATTTCTCCTAAAACAGAACAACAAAATAAGACACAGAATCCCACTGGCAGGAAAGCAATACTTTGTAAAATTAGAAAACCAGCTGAGTGCCAGTGGCTCACAACTATAATCCTAGCTACTCGGGAGGCTGAGATGAGGATCACAGTTTGAAGCCAGTGTGAAACTCTTATCATCTTCAATTAACCACCAAAAAAGAAAAAAAAAAAGCCAAAAGCGCAGAATACTAGCTTCGAACACACGAACACACGAACACACACACACACACACACACACACACTCACACTCACTCAAGCACAAGTGGCCTGTAATTCTAGCTCCTCAGGAGACTGAGCTCTGAGGATCATGGCTTGAAATCAGCCCAGGCAGGAATGTCCATGAGACTCTTATTGCCA